AAAAAAAAGATAGTAGGAAGGGTAAAATGAAGGGGGGGATATCAGAGGGGGAGATGAACCATGAGAGACTATGGACTCTCAGAAACAAACTGAGGGTTCTAGAGGGGAGGAGGGTGGGGGCATGGGTTAGCCTGGTGATGGGCACGTATTGAATGGAGCACTGGCTATTATATGCAAACAATGAATCATGGAATACTACATCAAAAACTGATGATGTAATATATGGTGATTAACATAATAAATTTAAAAAAAAAGCAGCACAGAGGAGATCCTTATAGCTAGAATTGCTCTGTGTATTGGGCTGGTTTTTAGTCGAATGTACACATGTGATACAACACAGTGCTTGCTATACATGCACATTGTACTCATGTCAGTTTCCCGGTTTTGAGGTTGTATCAGTTATGTGAGGCATTAATCATTGGGGGAAACTGGGTGGTGGGCACATGGGATTTCTCTGCTATCTTTGCAATTTCCTAGGAATGTATAATTATTTTAAAACGAAAAGAAAAAAGATAAGTGAATACAACTTATTTAACTTTTACTCAATGCCAACTTGATTTCCTTTTATTGACTCAAATGCTATAAAAACACAAAATCTACATTGTAGTCAATTTTTTTAAAAATGACATAGTAATAAGAGAATATTCATTCAAGCCTTGGATTGAGGCAAAGATAATCAGAATAATTTAATTTAGTCCATTAGCAAATTCATAGCTATGAAGAATGTTTGGGCCTTTTACAAGACAGAATACATAGAAATTCTAGGCTCACTATTTTAAAATTTTCTTATCCTTTCAAATGATCTCTGTTTTTACGATTGCTTAAACTTTAAAAGGACTAAATTCTAGAGTATTACCTCTGATCTACAATTGATGTAGGTCATCACTGAACATGGTTAGAATTATTTGGAGATCCAGAGAATGCATGTGAATTAAAAATTTATGGGATGATAAATATATTAAATTTATGATATGATCCCTAGAAATTAAGCAAAAATTAATTTTAAAATGTCAACATCTATTGAAAACTTCCCATGTATTATCATATTTAATTTCGCTGTACTGAAACTGTGGCGTGGAGAGGTTAACTTGCTCAAATTTATATGTATCAAGCCATTAGTTTTGCATAATTGAAGAAAAACGTTATGAAGAGTCTCTAAAATGAGACTGTCTAAACTAGTTTATTGTTATATCCATAAAATTCTGGTGTTGGGTTTCTGAACCCAGGCAGGCTGATTCTAGAGCTTGCTCTCTTAATCACTCTACAATATTACTTCTTTTAAGAATCCTGTATAGAAGTACTTTTTTCCCCCTGAATTTCAGTTTCCAAACAATTGCTTCTCACATTTAGAATAGTCAGGATTGCTACTTAGTTTCTATGGTGATGTGTAGATCTTCTGAATATTGCCACGTTTTTTTTTTTGTTTGTTTGTTTGTTTTGTTTTGCTGCTGGGATTTGCATCATTCATTCATCTATTTATTCATTTCATTCCATTTTGTACCATTTCATTCAATTCCTTAATGGTTGGGGTCAGGAAAGAGGCAGCCTGAGACAGGAAAGTGATGGTTATGGAAGGGGGAAATGTAGAATTGAGATTGTCCTTTAGCCTGAGACTAAGGTTAGTGACAAATGAAACAATGAAATACTCAGCAAAAATATGAAGAAACCTATGTGAATTTTATTTTGCAAATTGAAGATACACTCACAACTTTTGATTGAAAAGTCACAGCAAGTTCATGTTTCTTACAGTGAGAGATCGTAAAGTGACGAGCCCAGTTGCTTTTGGGACATTTAATGTATGGTTTTTTTGTACCTTCTTGTAAGTAAGCAACTGGCTGTTCTCTACCATAATTGAAAAAAATTAGGTTATGAGGAGTCAACATAAAGTGAATCTATAGTAGATTCATATATTATCTTTAAGGCAGAAATGTGGATGCACAGTTTATTATTACAGGCTGCTATTTTGGAATTGAGTGATCAAGATATTCGTTAGCTCAGGTGAGTTAATGGAATTCATTCAAAGTCCATAGGCAGAACACACATCAGTGAAAGAGGATTTTGAGCATATATTTACTCTTAGACTCAGTCTACCATAGTTCTTCCAACTGTTTCAGTATAGCTTTAATACCATAGATGACATTCATCTTTTCATGGAATTTATTTTGAATACCGTAATATGAAAATGAATAGGTGTTCAAAATTCTCTTCCTTGTCTTCCTTAAGAACATAGATAAATTACTGTGTTTTTTTTTTTTTGTGGCACATTTTGCAACTTAAGTTTCATAGCATTGGATGTATTTCCAAGGTGCCCTTTGATTTATTTTTCTTAAATGTTGATAGTACTTTTTATCTCCTATTTTCAAAACTGGTCAGCCCAACATCACCTGGGTATAATGATGCTGTTTGTGATTTTCCAGGAACCAGGTAAGTGAATTCCCAGTCTAGACATGAGTTTCAGGTCATTTTTGCTGACTGCTGCCTCTCCATAGCACCCTACGGTACCTGTCACTGGAGACCCCGGAGAAGTGACAGGGTGTCGTCTCGGGAGCATGTGCTGTGGTGTGCAATCTGTCGGGGAACATGAGGATTTAAAATCCACCAAACACCAGGCATCGTTTTTGCTTTAATTACAAGTGTTCTGTGTGTATTTATATCCATGTATGCCTTCTTTTCTTGGGTTGTAAGTACAGATCCTTAAGAATTCTGGTTTCCTAAGGTATTCACTTTATTTAATAATTTAATAAACTGATAAATTAAATAACTTAATTATTTAATAAATATTTATTTAATAATTCCAAACAAATGTTGAAAAGTCTAAAATAGCCAATTAATTCTGCCTTTCCTTGTGGTCCTGTTCAGGACGCAGCATCATTCAAAGACTGGCGCTCTTTGTTGTTTTCTCTATAATATAGTAGTTTCTTAACCATTTCTCGCATCTCAGATTTTTTTTTTATGATTTGATAAAGCTGCCTTCAAAAGTCCCATTCTCTCCCAAGCTATTTCTCTCTCTCTTTCTACACACACACACACACACACACACACACACACACACAGACACACAAGCATTAACACATATGCGCATGGATGCACATACATACACACAGTTTTGCATTCAATTTCAGGTGTTTCATAAGTCCTCTGAATTGCAGGTTTAGTATTTCTGTATTGAGAACCTAGAATTTGTGTTGTTGAAAGTGACATGCTCCCCACTTGCATTATTATTAACAGCATTCTGTCTTCCCCATGTTACTGTTAGCAGTCCCTGAGCAGCAGAGAGACCAGCTTTCTCATCAGTGAAGAACCAGCGGTAAGCAGCCATCAGCACTATACTTTCCTGCACGGACACAAATGGGGTATTATTTTGTAGTCAGAGAGGGTGAGATGCTCTCTTTCCCAGGTCAGTTGTTTTTCACATCCTCATATGTGATAGTCGAGAATTTATTACTTTGGAAAAAAATCAATTTCTTATGGGGAAAAAAGTAACAACAAACATATTAATGAGAAGTACATGGAAAGCATAACTATTTGCTTGCATTTTAATTTCTCAGTTTTACAAATGAGAAAAAAATGAAGGGTCTGAGAGGTTTAATGACTTCATCAAAATTATCCAGACGTTGAAGAGGCAGATCCTGGAGTAGGACTCGAGTTTCTGAATTGTGGTTTAATATTCTTTCTTCATCTCTTCAATCCTTTTACCTGTTAAGTACATGCCTGAGAATGATCATGAAGTATAGTTTATTTAAAAATCAAATTTGAATATCAATTAAGAGGTTAGTAAAGGGATTTAAAATTTTTCACTTATTGCTTAGTAAAAAAAATGGTGCTAGAAATAGAGTTATATTCTTATACTGACAATTTTAATGGGTGATGTTTTGCTTTTTGTTCACATACTGATCTATAATGTTCCAGAATGAAGGATGTGGGGTTCATCAAATTATAATAATTGAAACTTTGTTGGTTCTTTTTTTTTTTTTGATCATGTAAAACATTTATATGATTCCAAAGTTGAAAGCCATAGATCCAGTAAAGTTTAATGGAGCCTAAAGCTTATGCTAGTTTGGTGTCACTCTTTAAGAAGAATCATGGAACAATAATTTACTTTAAAAAAATTTACAAAATATTTAACCATGAGAACATACTGTTAGAGTGTCCTTCTAAATCCTTGGAGGGGCTGATGCAAGCAAGAAGCCCTGAAGCTTTGCCTTTATTAGCTTGGAGGTAAATCTATCTGAGGATGAAACTATGAAATGAAACATTTTCCAAGAAAATTTTCTTCCTTATTTTCCCTCTTAATCCTCTGTAGTAATCATTTTTACTTGGTTTATCCTTTTATCCTGTTAACGTATCCCTTAATATTACATAAAATTTCTTACACCCCAAACTCGAGTATGGGTGTGTGTGTGTGTGTGTGTGTGTACATACATATGTATATTTATATTCCTCCTGCCTCTTTCACTAAAGGCAGCATACTATATATACTGTTCTGTTCCTTGGTTTTTACTTAACATAACCCGAGTTCATGCAATATTGTATATAGATTTCATTCCTATTCATTTGTATGTTGCATAATATTACATTGTGGAGGTTTAGCATGGTGTATTCATTCAGTTCCTTTATTGATGCACATTTGAGTTGTTTTTAATCTTTTGTTATTACGGAATTTGTTATAATAAATACCCTTGGGAGTCAGTTTTAATAATATTTTGGCCAGTGTTAAATAAGATTTCTGTATAAAAGAATAAACATATATGTAATTTAACCACATATTGCCAAATTCCCCTCTGTTTTGCATTTCTAACAAGTGTACGAGAATGCCTATATGCCCACAGCCTCATAGCATGTTGTCAGTTTAGATTTTTGCCTATCTGAGGTGAGATAGCTAGTGGCTGTTGGGAGCTCCATCAGTTAGCTGTATCTTAGTGTAGTTTAAATTTGCCTTTCTCTCAATATGAGTGGGACATTCATCTTTTCCTATGTTGATGGTCATTTTAATTTATTTTTCTGGATAACTCTTTTCATTTATTTTGTCTATTTTCCTGTCAAACTGTTAGGTATTTCTTTTTTCTCTTGATTTTTTTTTTTTTGGAGCTGTTTACCTATTTATTGTTATCCCCCTGCCTGTGATAAGAGTTTTAAGTAATTTCCCCATTATGTCATATGCTCATAATTAAAATTCTAGATTCCAAATGATTTGAAAATGATTTATGATATTTCATTTTTTATGATGACAGTGTCTTTGGTTGAACAGTAAGCTGTGAAATTAAACAGTAAGCTTCTTTTTCAAATAAACTTTTTATTTGAGTATAGGTTTAGATTTACAGACTCATTATAGATACAGAACATAAAATTTCTTACACCCCATTTCCATTTTCCCTTGTTATTAGCATCTTGCATTAGTATGGTAAAATTAATGAACTAATATTGATACATTATTATTAACTGAAGTCCATACTTTATTCAGATTTCCTTAGTTTTTCCCTCATGTCCTTTTTATATTTCAGGATCCCATCTAGGATACTACATCACATTTATTTATTTTTAAGTTTTTATTTTAATTCTAGTAGAGTTAACATACAGTGTTATATTAGTTTCAGGTGTACAGTATAGTGATTCAGCACTTCCATACATCACCCCCGGTGCTCATCACGACAAGCACACTCCTTAATCCCCAGCAGCTATTTCACCCATCCCTCCACCTCCTCCCCTCACTGACCATCTGTTTGTTCTCTGTAGTTAGGAATCTGATTCTTGGTTTGTTTTTCTTTTTTCCCCTTTGCTTGTTTGTTTTGTTTCTTAAATTCCATGTATGAGTGAGATCATATATATTTGTCTTTCTCTGACTGACTTACTTTGCTTAGCATTATACTCTGTAGCTCCATCCAGGTCATTGCCAAATGGCACAATTTCATTCTTTTTTTATGGCTGAATAATATTCCAGTGTGTATATATGCTACATCATCTTATCCATTCATCAGTTGATGGGCACTTAAGCTGCTTCTGTTATCTTGGCTATTGTAAATAATGCTGCTATAAAAATCGGGTGCCATGTATCCCTTTGAATTAGTGTTTTTCTATTCTTTGGGGAAATACTTAGTAGTGTGATTACTGGATGGTAGGGTAGTTCTATTTTTAACTTCTTGAGGAACCTCCATACTATTTTCTGCAGCGGCTGCACCAGTTTGCATTCCCACCAACAGGGCATGAGGGTTCTTTTTTCTCCACATCCTCCCCAACACCTGCTGTTTCTTGTGTTGTTGATTTTAGCCATTCTCACAGGTGTGAGATGATATCTCGTTGTAGTTTTGATTTTCATTTCCCTGATGGTAAGTGATGATGAACATCTTTTCATGTGTCTGTTGGCCATCTGGATGTCTTCTCTGGAGAAATGTCTGTTCATGTTTTCTGCCCATTTTTAATTAAATATCTGTTTTTTGAGTTGTTTCAGTTGTTTTTTTTTTAAAGATTTTATTTGTTTGACAGAGAGAGACACAGCGAGAGAGGGAACACAAGCAGGGGGAGTGGGAGAGGGAAAAGCAGGCTTCCCGCTGAGCAGGGAGCCTGATGCAGGGCTTGATCCCAGGACCCTGGGATCATGACCTGAGCCGAAGGCAGTTGCTTAACCAACTGAGCCACCCAGGCGCCCCTTTAGTTATTTATATATTTTGGATACTAACCCTTTATCAGATATGTCATTTGCAAATATCTTCTCCTATTCTATAGGTTGCTTTTTATTTTTGTTGATTGTTTCCTTCACTGTGCAAAAGTGTTTTATTTTGATGTAGTCCTAATAGTTTACTTTTGCTTTTGTTTCCTTTGCCCTAGGAGACTTATCTAGAAAAAAGTTGCTACAGCAATGTCAAAGGGGTTACTTCCTGTGTTCTCTTCTAGGATTTCTCATATTAGGTCTTTAATCCATTTTGAATTTATTTTTACTACACTGCATTTAGTAGGATGTCTCCTCTTGGCTGTGACAGTTTCTTATACTTTTTGTGTTTTTGATGACCTTCACAGTGTTGAGAAGTACTGATTGGGTATTTTGTAGGCTGTCCTTCAATTAGGATTTTTCTGATGTTTTTCTCATGATTAGACTGGGGTAAATATGTTTTGGGGAGGAAAACAATAGAAGTTAAGGGATATTTTCATCACATTATATCAAGGGTATGTCCTGTCAACATGACTTAACCATTCTTAATGTTAACCTTGATTGTCTGGCTTGAAATAGTGTTTGTCAGTTTGCTCTGCTATTAAGTTATTCTTTTTCTTCTCCCTTTCTATACTATATACTTCGGAAGAAAGTCAATCTATGAAGCCTACACTTAAGGACTGGGGGGTTGTGCTTCAATGAATGAATTATTTAGAATTCTTCTGTATGGGAAATTTCTCTCTCATTCATTCATTCATTCATTCATTTATATCAGGATTGACTCATGGATATTTATTTTCTATTTTGTGTTATAAATCCAATACTGTTGTATTTATTTCGTTGCTCAAATTGTTGTAGCTGTGGCTATTGGGAACTTTCTTGATTGACCTATATCCTTTTGACATTGCCTATTAATTTTGTTTTGCTTTGTTTCTAGCATTTACTTTGTGGCACTGCAAAGTGCTCTAACCTCATTTTATACTTTCCCTGCTATCAATCCTGGAATCAACCATTTCTCCAGGGAAATTTTCTTTTAATGTCCCAAAAATATCACAAAAGAAGAATCTGTATCATTCAGGGTCCTATTAGCCATACTCAGAGTAGGATAATTTGGGGAGGTCTTAATGAAAACTTTTTACAAATATGGGGTGCTAGAGAATCCTGCTATATATAGATCTAGTATCCACGCATCTATTATCATTGATAGCACTGAAGGGAATAGAAAGAGAGCATCATGTACTGAAGACATTCTTGAAAGGCTCATTGACCTTCAGTGGAGAGATACAGCCTTCCCGAAGCTAACGTTGGGAAGGAAGACACTCATTCTCTTCCTTCTCTCTAATCACAGAAGCCAGAAGTCTAGGGAGTTCTTTGATATCTATACCAGTCATCATCACAAGAAGAAGCAGGGTAGAGAGGGATAGAAAGGGGATCTGCTGGGATGAACCAAAGATATCCAGCAGAATATCATTGCGCATATTTTCTTTTTGGGGAATAAAAAGAAACCCTGTGGTTCCTATCATTTTTATTATGATAGAACTTCAATATTAATGATTCTATAAATACAGAAGAATTAACATAATTTAACATTTCGTTTGAAATAGTCAGCAGTGGATTTGATTGAGTAGCTAGCTAAGTGGCTACCTAAATTGCTAGAAGAT